TTGTATCTTAGTAATTTATTTTTTATTTATTTAATTTTTTATTATTTTTATTCTATGTATATAAGTGTTTCGCCTGCATGGATATATGTGCACCTGTGTGTGCAATGCCCACAGTGGTCAGAAGAGGGTATAGAATTCCTCTGGAACTGGAGTTAAGGACAGTTGTTAGCTGCCATGTGAGTGTTGTGACTCCAACCTTGGTCCTCTGCAAAAGCAGCCAGTGCTCTTAACTGCTGAGTCATCTCTCCAGCCCCCATATTTTTATCTTTTTTAAAAAAATATTTTATTTTTTTATTTTAATTTTAATATTTTATTTATATTTTTATTTTATGTGTATAAGCATATTGCCTGCATGTAGGTAAGTGCACCCATGTCATGCAATACCATCAGAGGACAGAAGAGACTGTCGGATCCCCTGGAACTAGATATGGACAGTTAGCTGCCATCTGGGTGCTGGGATTCGAACCCAGGTCTTCTGCAAGAACGACCAGTGTTCTTAACCACTAAGCCATCTCTCTAGCCCTTATCTTTTATATGTATGTGTTTTGCCTGCATGTGTGTAAGTGAACCACATTCATTCAGTGCCTTCAGAGGCCAGAAGAGGGCATCAGATCCCCTGGAACTGTAGTTACAGGCTACAGACAGTTGTGAGCTCCCATGTGGGTGCCAGAAACCAAACTCACATCTTCTGCAAGGGCAGCTAGTGCCCTTAAGCACTAAGCCATCTCACTAACCCTCTAATTTTTTTTTGCATATGTATGTATTCATGCATGCATGCATGCTCATGTTTATGTACATGAGGCTCACATGTGTGTGCACATGCACATGTGTATAGATGCCTAAAGTTGATAGGCATCTTCCTGATCACTCATCAGCTTATATGTTGAAATGGGATCTGGTATTGAACCTGAAGTTTGCTGTTTCAGCTGATCTAGCTAGCTAGCTTTCTCCAGGAATTTCCTGTCTCCACTTTCCATGTGCTGCCACCATGGCCACCCATTTTTTACATGGGTGAATTCTGGGATCAAAACCCTGGTCCTCATACTTTACCCTTTGGGCCATCTCCCCAGTCCTATATTTGTTTGTTTTACTAACTCATTTTTTTCATAAAACTAAAATCTCACTCATCATGCTTTATTTCTTTTTTAACTTTTTTTGGAGGGGTATTTTTAAAATATTTTATTTATTATCTTTATTTTATGTGTATGTATGTATTGCCTGCATGTAGGTAAGTGCACCCACGTTGTACAATGCCTGCAGAGGACAGATGAGACTGTCGGATCCCCTGGAACTGGAGTTATGGACACTTCTTAGCTGCCATGTGCCTGGGATTTGAACCTGGGTCTTCTGCAAGAACAGTCAGTGTTCTCTTTTTTTTAATATTTTATTTATTTTTTTTCATGTGTATGCATGTATTGCCTGCATGAAGGTAAGTGCACCCATGTCATCCAATGCCCGAGGAAGACAGAAGAGGCTGTTGGATCCCCTTGAACTGGAGTTACAGACAGTTGTTAGCTGCCATGTGGGTGCTGGGATTCGAACCTGGGTCTTCTGCAAGAACAGTCAGTGTTCTTAACCACTGAGCTATCTCTCCAGCCCACAGTCAGTGTTCTTAATTGCTAGTCTCTAGTACAATTCTTTGAGGGGGGGGAGGTCTTTTTGAAGCAGAGTCTCCCTGTAGCTCCAGCTGGCCTTGAACTCACAGAGATCCATCTGCCTCTGCCTCCTGAGTATGTGCCACCATTCCCAGCTCCCTTTAAGTCTCTCTTTTTTTTTTTTTTTTGGTCTTTTTAAGACAGGGTCTCCCTGTAGCCCCAGCTGTCCTGGAACTCACTATGTAGACCAAGCTGGCCTTGAATTCACAGAGATCAGCCTGCCTCTGCCTCCCAAGTGCTGGGAATAAAGGCATGCCCCACCACTACTGGCTCCCTTTAAGGTCTTTAAGCATGCTCCTTGAACTTCGCCTCAGCTGGAGTTCTGATTCTCTCTCTGCCTCACCTAGTACCTATCACATCCTCTGGAAAGTCTCCTCCAGTGACCCTTCCAAGTGAGGGGTGCTTCTTGATGTCCAAAAGGCTCAAGAACATGCCATTTAGAAAGCTGGAGAGAAGGCTCAGCAGTTAAAGAACACTGACTGCTCTTGTAGAGGGCTGGGATCAGGTTCCCAATAATCCCCACATGGCAGCTAACAATCATCAGTAACTCCAGTTCCAGAGAGATCTGATGCCCTCTTCTGGTCTCTGAGAGCGTTGCAGAATATGTTACACACACATACATGTAGGCAAAACACTCAGACACATAAAAAATTTTTTAAAATTTAGATATACACACACACTAAATATTTTTTTAAAAAGAGCAATAGTCATTCAGGTCTACACATTTGGGAGGCAGAGGCAGGAAGATCTCAGTGAGACTGAGGCCATCCTGGATTACATAGGAAGCTCCAGGCCAGCTGGGGCTACAGTAGACCCTGCTGGGCATGGTGGTGCATGCCTTTAATTCCAGCACTCAGGAGGAAGAGGCAGGCGGATCTCTGTGAGTTCAAAGCCAGCCTGGTCTACAGAGTGAGTTCCAGGCACCTGGAGCTACAGGGAGACCGTGTCTCAAAAAGACCAAAAAAAAAAAAGGCAATAATTATGCCACACATTGTGGCACATGCCTGAAATTCCAGGACTTGGGTGGTACAAACAGGAAGATGAGTTCAAGGATAGCCTAGACTATATAGACTTCTAGGCTAACAAGACCCTGTTGCAAAATAAAATTTTAAAAACTGCACAAAGGAGGTAGAGCTGGAGAGATGGCTCAGTAGTTAAAAGCACTGTGTGTACCACACACGCATGTGATCCACTTTCATACATGCAGACAAAACTCTCATATACATGTGTTTTTAAATTTAAATTTTTAAAAATTTATGTGTATGAATACATTGCCTGCATGTGTGTAAGTACACCTGTGTCATTCAGTGCCCTAAGAGGCCAGAAGAGTGATCCCCTGGAATTGGAGTTACAGGTTGTTAGCCACCAGGTGGGTGCTGGGAATCAAACCCAGGTCCTTGCAAGAGCAGCCAGTGCTCTTAACTGCTAAGTTATCTCTCCAGCCCCAAATGTCTTTTTAAAAAAAAAAAAAAAAAAAAAAAGAAAAAATTGCCAAAAGGGAGACCAACAGATCTAATATGCACCCCAATGAGTTACAACAGAAAGTACACACACCACCTAAAATATTCTTGCTAGAAAAACTAAAATGAAAACTATCAGCTCACAGGAATGTGGGGATGGAAGAACAAGTTTAACACTGTGAAGTGCTGGGCATGGTGGCACCATGCCTTTAACCCCAGCACTCCTAAGGGGCAGAGGCAGGTGAATCTCTGCAAGTTCAAGGCCAGCCTGGTCTACATAGCAACTTCCAGGCCAGCTGGGGTTATAGGAAGCTTGTCTCAAAAAGACCAAAAAAAAAAAAACCACTGCGAAGATGTGTGAATCTGTCTGAAGAAGCCACATTGGTATTCAAGATCCCATAGACTGCTTGGCTGACTAGAATATCAAAGTTGTGGAGCTCAGGTGCTCAGACCAAGAGTGAGAAATGGATCTGGGGTCTCAAGAAAATGAGTACATAATCCAATTTCAGCAAGGCAAAAGTTTGATTTCTGTAAAAGGGTATGTGGTTGTGCCAAATCCAGCATGGCAAGAAAATCCAGGGGGAACCCCAGCGGGGTTTTATTCCTCCTGCAAAGTGGTCCTGTGCTCCACTCTGAGTGCTCAGAGCTTGGCCTTGCATTCTTATGAAACCAGCTGATTTAACCAATGTACTTGATAAGTAGAATGTAATTTTGAGCACAAAGTGCAACCTTGAGTACATGTGGGCCTGGGTTTGATTCCCAGCACCCACATGGAGGCTAACAACTGCCTGTAACTCCAGGTTTCAAGATGTGGGACCCAGCCAGGTGTGGTGGCACATGCCTTTGATCCCACCACTCAGGAGGCAGAGCTGGCTCCTAGAGGAATTTCAATTTCTGCCAAATTACTTCTTTAAAATTTTTAAACTTTTCTTAAAAATTTTAAAACTCCAGTTCCAGGGGATCTGACACCCTCTTCTGGCCTCTGGTGATTTGCATGCATGGGTGCACTTACATACATGTGCAAAATACTCATACATATAAAATAAAAATATTTGTTAATGGGTTTTTATCTTATTTACCTTTGAGACCAAAATCTACCACCTTTACAAAGCACACTGACTAGGAACCTGAAGAGGTCAGGGGTGAATGTCTTGGCTGTAAAGAACAAAGCACATCCATTTAAGAGACTGTCGGCCTGTAGTCCACTCACAACCTCTAAAGTCAGGTATAAAACTTGGTCCATATGTGCATTTTCCTGGCACAGAATCCAGCTAGTTGTTTTCATCTACTTTATGATCATAACAAGTCTTAACTAAGAGGAGTGAGAACCTAGAACCTATCCAGCGCAATCTTCCCTGAGGGTAATAGTTGTTTCCAGCACTAATTCCCTCCTGTGGAGTCAATTAAGATGCCAGTGTTCACCACATAATAGAGATATGGCAGTGCAACTCCTTGGAAGGAGATAGACTCAGGAAGCCAAGGGATACCGACAGGCAAAGGTAGGCAAGAAGACTAGAGCCTCAACAGCACAGGTGCATTCAGGGGCCTGTAGAGGAGGTATCTAGAGTCAGACCAATTATAGGGCAGAAAAGAAAAAAGGAGACGGACTGAAATTTTTCCTTTAATGGTCTGTGGTCAGCTGTTACTAGGGGTAAGTAGGGAAGTACGGTGTCTGGTGAGTTAAAAAATGTCGGGTCAGGCGGGTGTGGTGACGAACGCCTTTAGTCCCACCACTGGGGAGGCAGAGGCAGGCAGATCTCTGTGAGTTCAAGGCCAGCCTGGTCTACATAGTGAGTTCCGGGGTAGCTGGGACTACAGGGAGACCCTGTCTCAAAAAGGAAAAAAAAAAAAAGTCGGGCCACCAATGAACGCCTCTTGTGGGTTACTGGGGTTGATGGGGTGGAGAGGCAAAAAAAATCTATAAAAACAAGTTGGAACCAAGTTACTTTAGTTCTGGGAATTGGCACTCTTTATCTAAAATGGAGGAGTTTTACAAAATGACCTGAGCATGGCCTACAATAGAGAAAGAAGAATTTTAACTTAATGTGGTACAGCTGCTGAGGCTTTGAGGCCTCCTTCAGGAAGGAAGGGAAGTCTACTGTTGGCCAGTGAATGTGTTTGGAAGTAGTTGACCTGTGGTTGGGGATGAATAGGAAAGGGGGAGGGGAGGTGGAATGGTTCAACTAGTTTTATGTCAAAAAGGAATTATAGGAGTTTATAGTGAATTGCCATCACTACTACCCCTAATTTTCTGGCAATCTTTTTTCATCACCCATTGATCTCTTCCATCAGTGCTGACAACCCAAGGCAAAAGTGAAACATGTGAGTTATGACCACCCAATTTTGTAAAGCCCCCCATTTTGGTTAAGCAATGTCAATTCCCCAAACTAAAGTAATTTGGTTTCCAGCACTAAAGTAACTCGTTTTTCTAGATTCTTGCCCTCCAAGCCCTATGGATCCCCGGTAATGGCCGGTCATGAGAGATGGTTATCGATCACCAGACATTCTTTATCTCACCACTCACCTTATTTCTCTTGCTACCCCAAAGGCCAACCCCGGGGAAAAAAAAAAAACCGATCAGTCCCCTCAGCCTGTAGGCAGGCCGGGCTCTGGCTCTCAGCCGCACACACCATCTCCGTAGGTCTTTTCTACATAATGCCTGCGTGGGTTCCCTGGTCTGCCTTTCCTTCGCGCTGACCTTAGAAAACGCAGGATTAGACCGCAAAGGAGGAGGCTCCGAGGCGAACCGAGCCACAGGCTTGCATCCTGCGGTCCCTTTAAGAAAAGAACTTCTCCGGACCTGCAGGCCCAACCGACCCCAGTTTTAACCGAAACCTAACCCGGACTTCCCCCTCTTAACTCATATGAGACTAACTTTGGATTTTCCCTCCCCTGTGGACCAATCCGATTCTGTTACCAGGCAGACTTTAGCGGCCGCCTGTGCGAGCGGGGCGCATTCTGCCTCCGGTGGCAGCAACGACCAATCACAGAGCAGGCCGTCCTTGTATCCAGGCAGATTGAGGCTGGTACAACCATTCAGAAAAAGGAAAATAAAGCAACGCACGAGCCCGCCGGGCCAGCACGGTGGGCTGGGCTGGAGTGACGGTAGCTACGAGGTAGTTTCTCTTTCTCCCTTACCTGTATTGTTGCTTGTGTTGGAAGGAGACGGTTCCGAGGTAGGGAGGGGCGACAGGAGCAGGGAGGAGAGCTGGAAGAGGTTCCTCAGCTCTCCACCCATGTACACGTGCCCGGAATCCGGGACCCCTGCCCGGGTCCGGGTTTTCTACCCCAGCCCCAGGAGTTCTACTGGCTGAGCCCCCGCCGGCCAGCAACCCGGGACTGAGCGGAGGGGCCGGGATGGAGGTGGGGGCACATCGGGGTGGGATGTCGTGGGGATGACGTAGGGTCCGCGCCGTGGCAAGGGGGGCAGCGGGGGACGCCGTAGCGAGATTCAGTAATGAGAACTTGGGCCCAGTTTTTTTTTTTTTCAAACCTGGAGGGCCAAGTTTGTTCGTATCCCTCCTAAACTCCCAAGCAAAATCAATGGCGAGGAGTATATTAGAGAATCGGAGAACTTAGGTTTGTGGTTATTGAGGGGAGGTTTGGGGGTGGGCAGTACCCTGACAAATGAGAAGTAAACGTTTCTTTCTAAAGTGGATTCCCTCCCCCTCCCCCATCTCTTCCCTTAGTTTTCTAGATTTGGGAGACTTCGGAAGGTGGACAGCTAGAGATGTCAAAGATCTCTTTGGGTATAGATAGGCCTGTTAAAGTAAAGAAATAATTTCTAGTTTTAGAGAAGGCAAGTGGGTAGAAAAAGACCACTGAGAGAACGTGGAGGCTTTGCTTCTCTTTGTATTTCTGGGTAGAGAGATGAAGACTGCCCTAAGGGTCAGCAGGGAGAAGGAAGAGTGGCATGAGTTAACCTGTGCCTTGTCCTCTCTCAGCTCTAGCCCTCATGCTGGGATGGCAGAAGATAAACCTGATGCTAAGAGCCCCAAGACTGGGGCAAGGGCCCCCCAAGGTGGTGCTGAGGCTGGTGAACCTACCACCCTTCTTCAAAGGCTCCGAGGTACCATTTCGTAAGTAGTCATCACCATCTCCAAATCTTGTTCATACCCAGCTATAGATCCCTGTAGCACTTCATTCTGGAGATGAACTCTCCTCAGGCAAGTGTCCGGGAGCATGTGGACATCTATGATCTTGGTAGCAGTTCCATCCTTTTTCTGTCTCTAGCACTCAAAGGAATGGCAAAACCTTATGACCTCCAGCTTTCTCTTCTTCTCCACAGCAAGGCCGTGCAGAACAAAGTAGAGGGGATTCTGGTAAGCATGTTGGGAGATGTGGCACTGCTGGGGGATGGTGGCAATAATGAAGGAAAATAGGTTTATGTAGGAGATGTAGTGCTGTCCACTCATCAGAAGATAACTGACTTTGAGCATCTTATTTCATCCCTCTGTGACCTTTTAATGTAGGCACCCCATAGAGATCAAATCAAAATCTCTTCTCCTCCCTCTCCATGACAAGCCCATAAGGTTCCTAAGAGCACAGTAAGCACCCAGACTCAAGTCATTTCTTAGTCCCTTTCCATTCTGACAACCTAACTGACAGTCAACTTGGCCTTTATGGTAAGGGTCATTCCCACGTCCTTGGTTTTATTTCTCTGTTCCCTTCTACCTCAGCAAGAAGTACAGAAATTCTCAGACAACGACAAGCTGTATCTCTATCTTCAGCTCCCTTCAGGGCCCAGCATTGGGGACAAAAGGTAGGTTTGGTGGTAGAGTTTTAGATGTCATAGGTTCTGATTTTTAAAGTCTCATTGGGATGGGGCAACATAAGTAGGAGATGCATAACTGATGTCCTTAATCAAGAAGTAAAGCCCCAGGGCAGGAGAGATGGCTCAGCTGTTAAGAGCACTGGCTGATCTTACAGAGGATCTGGGTTCAGTTCCCAGCATCCACATGGCAACTAACAACTGACTGCAACTCCAGTTCCAGGGGATCTGACATCCTCTTATGGCCTTTGTGGGCACTACATTCTTGGGTGCAACATATATGCAGGCAGAACACTCATACACATAAAATAAAAAAAAATTTTTTTAATTAAAAGAAAGCAAGGTGGCACAGGCATTTAATCCCAGCACTCAGGAGGCAGAAACAGGTGGATCTCTGAGTTCAAGACCAGCCTGGTCTACATAGTTCCAGACCAGCTGGGGCTATAGAAAGACCCTGTCTCAAAAAAAAAAAAAAAAAAAAAAAACAACACTTAGGTAAAGGATAGTACCAGTGCATGGCTTCCCATGACACAGTTTTCCTTGGTTTAACTCAAAGTCTCAGCCCCTTTCAGATTTTCCTTTACCTGACATTTGCCCCTCCTCCTGTATTATATATATATATATTATGCGTATGAGTAAAAACACCAAAAAAAAGAAAAAAGAAAAGAAGGTGAAGAAGTAAGGCCCTTGCCCTGGCTTGGTTTAACAGGCAAAGGTGGATTTGGAGCAGACCAAATTGGTCTAGCACGACTAAAGTGGTAGTCTGGGAAGAACCAAGACAAGTATTTGGGTATAGTAATGCTTGTCCCTTTTACTTATCTTACAGCTCAGAGCCAAGTATACTCAGCAATGAGGAATACATGTATGCCTACAGGTGGATCCGCAACCACCTAGAAGAGCACATGGACACCTGTCTACCAAAGCAGAGTGTTTATGATGCCTATCGGTATGTAAAGGAGGTGGGGCCTAGGTTGGTGGGCACAGGACTAGACCCTTACCCCTAAAGAACTCCTGCCTTGCTAGAGTTTGGCTTCTTAAAGAGTTCCCCACACTTGGTCCCAGGTCCCCTCTGAACCTAGTCATAGCCTTTTCTGAATATCTCGCCACTCTCTCCCCTACTCACTCAGGAAGTACTGTGAGAGTCTTGCCTGTTGCCGCCCACTCAGCACAGCCAACTTTGGTAAAATCATCAGAGAGATCTTCCCTGACATCAAGGCTCGAAGACTTGGTGGTCGGGGCCAATCCAAGTATCCTTGAGTGGGACTGGAGGCCTGGGGAGGAAAAGATAGGATGTGGAAACAGCCTAACTTGGCCTAAGGGGCTTAAAGGGCCCCAAATTTTGGCTGCTCCTTAACTTGCACCAGATATTGCTACAGTGGCATACGAAGGAAGACCTTGGTATCTATGCCACCCTTACCTGGACTTGACCTAAAAGGTTCTGAAAGCGTAAGTAATGACCTTCCAGCTCCATTCCTGTCTCCCAGGTAAAAGACAGGAGTCCTTAGGACTTGTTTTGGGCTGTAACAACCTAAGTCATTCCATACATTGCTTCTGCGTGACCTGGAAGTTTGTTTCTGGATCTTAATGGTTAGAAGCTACTCCTGTCAGGTCTCTGCTTTAGGTGGTAGTAGGGTCAAGGGAAGGGTCTTTTAGTGGGTAGTGTAATTGGGCATGTCTTTCTCCACCACAGCCAGAAATGGGCCCAGAAGTAACCCCAGCACCTCGGGATGAACTGGTAGAGGCAGCCTGTGCGCTGACTTGTGACTGGGCAGAGCGAATCCTGAAACGGTCCTTCAGTTCCATTGTTCAAGTTGCCCGCTACCTGCTACAGCAGCATCTCATCTCTGCCCGATCTGCACATGCTCATGTGCTTAAGGCCGGGGGACTTGCCGGTAGGTGCACTGCTTTTTTGTCTGAAAAATCTTCAGTCACTTTTAGCTTTTTGAGGGGGGATGGAGATGTGGGGGATAGAGTCTCAGAGTCTCACTAAGTTGCCCAAACTGGACTAGAACTCCTGGACTCAAGCAGTCTTTCTATCAGCATCCCAAGTAGCTGAGACAACAGGTTGCATACCTCTTCACGTTGATATCACCTTCAGCTTAAAGGCCTTGCTGAGCACTAGGGTAGACATACCTTGCATTGCCTTCTATTCTTTGTGATCCTTCTTTTCTTTCTTTTTCTTTTTTTTTTTTTTTTTTTTTTTTTTTTTTTTTTTAGACCCTGGTCTCCCTGTAGCCCCAGCTGGCCTGGGACTTACTATGTAGACCAGGCTGACCTCGAACTCACAGAGATCCTCCTGCCTCTGCCTCTGCCTCCCAAGTGTGCTGGACTAAAGGTGTGCGCCACCAGGCCCAGCTGTGATCCTTCTGTGTGGATGGGTGAGTGGGCCAGAGGTCAACCTCTAGTGTCATTCTTCAGGAGCTGTCCATCTTGTTTTTGAAACAGTCTCTCACTGGGTCCTGGAGCTAGGCTGGCTGGTCCTTGAGCCCCAGGGATTTGCCTGACTCTGCTTTGCTACTGCTGGCTATTGATTACAAATGCATCTGGCTTTTTACCTGGCTGCTGGGGCTTGAACTCAAGTCAAGCTTGCATGGCAAGCACTTGACCAGCTGAGCTACCATCAGCCCGTCCTGGAGATCCTTTTTAAGATACGATTCAGATGTCTGCTTTCCCTTGCCTGTCCCAGGCAGTCAGGCCATCAGACTCACTTCACGCCTCCTTTTCTCGGTTTCTTCCTCACCCTTGCTTTATTACCTTTCCTGGCACCTCTGCAGAAGAGGACGAACATGCCCCCCGGGAACGGTCATCATGTAAATCCAAGAATGGTATAGAGAACCTGGAAGGTGGAAGCCATAAGAAGCCAGAGAGACCAGCCCAAGTAAGTCAGATGTTGCCTCTGACTTTGCTGCCTTGGGCTTGGGGCTTAGTATATCATTCCCCCAGTGAGTCCCCTACCTTTTCACTTCCAGGGCCTCAGCACCTACCTTTCCTCCCTATTTAGTCTTTATTCCTTACAGTGGTTTCGTTTACTTTTTAGCCTCCTAAGGAGCTAGAAGCCCGAGCTGGGACTGACCCTCCAATGCGTGGAGAACGGAAGAAGAGTGTAATTGAGAGCTCAGCTCCAGCAGCCAGTAAGCCACAGGTTAATGCCCTTGTGGCCCGGCTGCCTCTTCTCCTTCCCCGGGCACCTCGCTCACTTATTCCTCCAATCCAAGTCTCTTCACCCATCCTAGCCCCTAAACTTTCTTCAGGCACTCTGAAAGTGGCTACATTGCCTCTGCCCACTAGGGTTGGGGGACCACAAGCAGCTGTGCCCATCATTAACATGTTCTTACCATCTGTTCCTGCTTTGCCTGGGCCTGGGCCTGGATCTGGGCCTGGGCCTGGGCCTGGGCCTGGGCCTGGGCAAGCTCTACCTAGGGCACTCATTCTGCCCCGGGGCACAGAGAACAGGGAGTTAGGCATTAGTGGTGACCCACGACCCCATGACAAGGGTATAAAGAGGACAGCTGAAGTGCCTGTGAGTGAAGCCAGTGGGCAGGACCTGCCAGTTAAAGAAGCAAAGCAAGATACAGAAGATACAGTAAGTGATGCCAAAAGAAAACGAGGGCGCCCTCGAAAAAAGTCAGGTGGAAATGGGGAAAGAAATGCTACACCTGAGAAATCAGCAACTGCTGTGGACTCTGCCCGGTCCTCAAGGTTACTCTGGGAGTCATGGGGCTCAGGAAGGGAAAATAGCTTAGCTGGGGGATCACAAAGGCCAGGGACAGTGGGCGAGGCTGAGCAGAGGACAGTGCTTGCCCAAGGTCAGGAAGATCGTGCTGTTTCCAAAGGAGGAAGGGGCCTGAGTTCCCAGCAAGCCAAAGAAGCAGAAGATAAAATTCCACTTGTCACCTCCAAAGTGAGTGTTATCAAGGGCAGAATTCAAAAGGAGGCTCTTCAGTTGGTAAAGGGAGAGGTAGACACGGCAACACAGGGTAACAAAAGTTTAAAGAGTCATGCACTTCAAAGTTCTTTAGCCTATGAGCGTAAAGACCCCAAAGCAACACCCCCATAAGTCTGTGCGGAAGAGTGGCTATGTTCATGTGGACTCTACCTGACTGATAGATGCCCTTCTCTGCACTTGCTTCTCATTCAGCTATTCTTTCCCAAAGGGAGCCCACTGACCTGGCTTGCGTAGTGCCTGGTGGCTGCTTCTGACCTTTTCTACTCAATACCTTGGCTTTAGTGCAATCAGCAGGTCTATAGTGACCTTCCCACCTAGATCCCTGTGCTTTCCTAGGGAGGTAGGGATAGGGTAAGTATGAATGTGTAAGTTAGGGATGGTGTGGCTTCAAATCATAGAAAACCTAACACAAACTCAGTTAAAGATAAAAAGGATTTATTGGTTCATGAAAGTAGAAAGTCAAGAGGTGGTGCTGGCTCCAGGTGAGGCTTGATCTAGTTGCTTGGTTTGTTTCTCAGTGCTTCATCCTTAGTTTGGACCACTTCATAACTGCCAGCACTCCTAGGATTGTCTTTGACCATTATATGCAACCAGAAAGAGGGTGTCATTATGCCAGGAATCCTAGCAAAAGCCCAAAGATTGACCATGATTAGACCAGCCAGGTCTCAGGTCCACCCTTGACCAACCAGTGTGATCAGGAAGATGGTATGCTAATGTATTATTCTATATCATGGACCACACACCTTTGGAAAAGGTAGAATTGGCCTTTTCACAATCACAGATTACTCAGATGGGGACATGGGGTGGATGGTGGGAAAGTCACTAGGAGGTAGCTAACAACTACCAAGTGTATGTGTTTAGTGTGCAAGGCTGAGAGGAGCTAGGCTGCTGCCTTTTTTCCTGTCTTGCATCTCCCTTAAGGCAGCTGTAACTTATCTCTCCTTCTAGTCTGGGAAGGACAGAAGGAAGTCATTCTCTTGCAGGGAGTGGCTCTTCATTCTCACATAACTTTTTTTCCACCTACAACTTCCTTTTCCAGTGTGAATTTTCCTGTCTCCCTAGGCCTGCTTCCCTATCCCCCAATCCAGTGGCACTTTCACCAAGTAGAGTGGAAGATTACTTCCTAGTCATTTCATTAAATTCATTCTGTATCCACAAGGTGTCAGTCTCTTGTCATACATGTGTCAGGACCAAGCCACAACTGTGGGATTTGGGCTACATATATGGAAGGAGGTAGTTCTGTGTGTCAGGGAACACCAGTGGGAAGAATCCAGACATTCCAGCTGTATCCTTGGGAACAGCAGGAAACCAGTCCATATTTATTGAGGACCCCTGTGTTCTCTACACAGGATAGCTTCTTGTCAGGGAGTCTTGGTTTTCCTAAGAAATACAGATTTTTCTTTCAGGGAGATGTTACCCATTTGTTCATTTTTTTCCACCAGGGCAGGTTTTTAAATTATAATACGTAATATTTGATATCCATAAAGAAATATGTAATATAAATTATGAAGTATAAGTACTTATGACCCATCATTCAATTTACAGGTTAAAATATTAGAAATACCATTGAGTTTATATTCCTCCCTGTCCAGCCTCTTCAGAGGTAACCACTGTCCTTAATTTTGTGCTTATGAATCACTTGTTCTATATATATTGACCATGTATATATATATTCTTTGAAAATGTACTATTTAGTTTTGCTTGTGTTTAGCTTTACAGAAATGTTGTGCTCTATTAGTCCCTTGAAGTTTGCTTTTTTGCACTTATAACTGTTTCTAAGATTCACCCATGTTATAATGGCTGTGACTCACTTTCATCTGTATGATGATATTCCATTAAGTGCATAAACCACAACTTAGTTTACCTATCATTGATAACTTTTGGGCTGTTTCCAAGTTTTTGTTATACACAGTGCTGCTATGAACATTTTGTATATGAGTGCCTTTGTTTTTAGTAAGATTTCTCAAGAGGTTTCTAAGATGGTCCTTTTGGTCTGTTGACCCTCTGAGTTGGGGGCTGTTGCCTCTTGTCTTACTCTATGGAAGAGTTTACATCATATTAAAATGAACTGTTCCTTGAATGTCTGATAAAACTCACCTATAAAGCCATCTGAGCCTTGTTTTTGTGAGCATAATTTGAACCAATGGTTAAATTATTTAATAACTATAGACTACTTGGACTCCAGATGAGTTTAGGCCGTGTTTTGTGCTTTTCTTGTCTTTTGTTTTTTTTTGAGACCAGGTTTCACTATATAGCCCTGGCTGGCCTGGAACTCCCTATGTAGATCAGCCTGGCCTCAAATTTACAGAGATCTGTCTGCCTCTGCCTCCAAGCACTGGGATTATAGGTATATGCCGCTATGCCAGCTCATATGCTTTATTTTTTAATACTTATTTTTATTTTGTATATATGAGTGTATTGCCTGCATGTATATTAAGTGCACCCATAAAATGCTGGTAGAGGTCAGAAGGTGTTGGATCTCCTGGCACTGGAGTTTAAAGACAGTTGCTAGCTGCCATGTGGGTGCTGGGAATTGAACCCGGGTCCTCTGCAAGTGCTCTTAACCACTGAGCCATCTCTCCAGCCCAATTTTATTTTTATTTTATGTGTATGAGTGTTTTGTCTGCATGTATATACATGCACCATGTTCATGCAGTGCCCACGGAGGTCAGAAGTGGGTGTTGAATATCCTGGAACTGGAGTTAAGGACAGTTGTTAGCTTCCATGTGGGTGCTAGGAACCAAATCCCTGGTTCTCTGCAAGAGTAGCCAGTGCCCTTATCTGCTGAGCCATCTCTCCAGACAGGAAGTTCATGTATGCATTTTCCTTTTGGGTCTGTGCTCTGGGTTGTCATGTCCTCATTTCTGCTGTGTGCTTGTGTCTTCCCTTTTTTTCCCCTTCATCAACTATGCCAGAAATTTTACTTGAAAATCTTCAAATTCTACTTTGGGCTTTCACAGATTCTCTCATTTGTTCTGTTTCATTAATTATGGTTTTTTCTCTATCTGTAGTGCCTCCTGCTTTTGTAAGGTTTAATTTTATGTTCCTTTGTAGTAGCCTTTTTCTTTTACAATATCTTTGTCTCTGTCTCTTTTCCTTCCCTCCCTCCCTGTCTCTTTCAACAAGGTCTTTTGTAGCCCAGGCTGGCCTTGAAATTACTATGTAACTATGATGACCCTGAACTCCTGCTCCACCCGCTTCTATCTTCCAAGTTCTGTGATTACAGATGTGAGCCACCATGCCTCACTTATGGAGCACTAGGGATGGAACCCAGAGCCACATGTGTGCTAAGCAAATGCTACCAACTGAGCTTTTTTATCTGAATTTGGACAGTTAGCTGATTAATTTTCAGGCCATCCTTTTCCCTTGTTTTCTGTTGTTTTTATTGAGAACTCAAGACATTCTTTCTTCATCAGCTCTCTGAGTGCTAAGATTACAATGCTGAGATGCCTGGCTTCAGGCATTCTTCTGTGTTATGCTCCCTGACCCCACCCCCCAGGGCTGAGGATCACATGCTAGGTAAGCACTTGACCACTGAGGTACATCCTCAGCCTTTGCCTTTGAGTTTGTTTTATCTTGAGACAGGGTCTGGGTATCTTAGGCTGGCCTAGGAAGTCACTGTGTAGCACCTAACTTGTGATCCTCCTGCTTTAGCCTCCAGAGTGACGGGATTATAGGTATGTATCACCATAACCCAGCTATTTTTAAAACTTGTACTTCTCCACAACCTGTGGGGTTTTCTGTGCCATACAGTATTTTCATTATTATTTAGTTATAAAAACATTGAAATTACCTTTGTGACTTTTTTTTTTTTTTTTGTTTTTTGGAGACAGGGTTTCCCTGTAGCCCCAGCTAACCTGGAATTCATTATGTAGACCAGGCTGACCTTGAACTCACAGAGATCCACCTGCCTCTACCTCCCCAGTGCTGGGATTAAAGGCATGCGCCACCACACCCGGCTTTTTTTTGGTCTTTTTGAGTTAAGGTCTCCTTGTAGCCCCAGATGTCCTGAAACTCACTATGTAGACCAGGCTGGCTTCGAACTCAGAGATCCACCTGCCTCTGCCTCCCAAGTGCTGGGATTAAAGGCATGCACCACCACACCAGGCTTTTTTTTTTTTTTTTTTTTTTTTTTTTAATTATGAGGGGAGGCATGCCATGGCCTGCATGTGGAGGTCAGAGGACAACTTTGTGGAGTCAGCTCTCCCCTTCCACCTTTATGTGGGTTCCAGGAATTAAACTCAGGTCACCAGGCTTTCAGAAAAGTGCCTCTACTTTCTGAATCATCTCTCTGGCCTCTTCTCTGAGGATCTACAGGCAGTTAATGGTTGTTGGGAGAGGAAGAGACATTTTCTTCAGTGGTATAGCATGGTAAGGTGCCCATCATATAAATTACCTCTCACCCATGCTTCTGTAAACAACACTAATGAAACGCATTAGGAGAGAGAGATGCTGGTGGTCATGTGTAGGTGCACATCTGTGTGCTGGTGCATGTGCACATGTATGTAGAGGGGCTAAGATTCACATCCGGTGTGTCTTTCTGATTGCTTACATATTAAGGGTCTTGTTGAACCAAGAGCTGGCTGTTTCAGCTAGTCTGGCTAGCCAGTTTGCTCTGGGAATTCCCTGGCTCCATCTCCCACGTGCTGGGATCACAGGTGGGCCTTCACCTCTATCCAGTGTTTAAGCTGGGTTCTGGAGATCTCAACTTCAGTCCTCACACCAGCATGACAAGTATTTTACTCACTGAGCCATCTCCCCAGCCCTCTTTGTGACTTTTGACTCTTGATTTTTAAAAATTTCTTACTCTCCTCTCTTCTCTCTCTTCTGGTGGAAGGCTCGAACCTAGGACTTTGCATATGCTAGGCAAATGCTCTACCCCTGAGCTACCACCCTAGCCCAGTATGTTGTTTTTTGTTTTTTTTTTAATGTTTTATAAATTTCCAAATGTCTAGAGATTTATCTTTTTGATATTTTCAACTTTATCATTCATGTTCAAACACTGTCTCTGAAGCAGGGTATGGTGGCTCATGTACTTGGGAGGCTGAGGCAGGATTACCACAAGTTTGAGGCTAGCCTGGGCTGTATAGTAAGTTCCAGGCTAGCTTGGGCTACAGTGTGAGACCACCTCAAGAAACAAACCAAACAAAACCAGGTGTGATGGTGCACACCTGTGAGGTAGACAGGAGGATCAGAAATTGAAGGCCAGCTTCAGCTACATAAGGAATTTAAAAGCCAAGCCTGAGCTACGTGAGACCCTGTCTCAAAACAAAACAAGCTGGGCTTGGTGGCACACACCTTTTGATCCCCAGTGCTTTGGAGGCAGAAGCAGGTGGATCTCTGAGTTCAAGACCAGCCTGAACCACATAGTGAGTTCCAGGTCAGCTGGGGCTACATGGAGACCCTGTCTCAAAAAGAAAAAAAATAATAATTGTAGTAAAGGTGGCTGGAAGTGATTAAAAGCACATACTACTCTTGCAGAGAACCCAAGTTTAGTTCCTAGCATCTATGTCAAGGAGCTCACAACCACTCCAGCTCTGGCCTCTGTAGGCACCTGCACTAATGTGCAGATACACAGAGGCACATAATTAAAAATAGTAAAAACAGCCGGGCGTGGTGGC